CACTTGAATTCACTAAGTTTGCTTACTTTGATCTCTATGGGTAACAGTGAGAGATGGTTAGGGATCAGCTGCTACCAGCTTTGCTTTGAGTAGGGTCTTTGGGTCCATCTACTCAAACAACTTTCATGGTGTGACCTCACCCATCAAGAGTGGGTTTTGGGACTGACACAGCATGCCTGCAGAAGTTTGTCACATTGCCACTGTTTTCCTGTCTGTATAATTTCTTCTGAGGTCTGAAACAAATCCCACTGGGGAAAGTGTTGCTGGAATTAACTACTTCCATATTAAAAACCTTTACAGGAGACAGCACAGCTGTACCAACAGGACTACACTGCTTCAGTCTTGATATGACAGGCTAGCTTTACTCTGCACTGTCTGAATGGGAGCACTAGCAAAGAGGACTAGAACACACATAGCTGCCTTTCCACGTTCTTTACAGAAGTTTCATTTTTGTAAGACTTCCATGTTTACGGCACTCTAATGTTGACAGAAACATTTCTGACTGCCTGTATGTGGGTGTTACACACAGAGCATTCTCAGACTCCTGGAGACAAGGATCGGAGTTAAAGATCAAGTTTAACAGTAGCACAGAAGGATATTAGGTTAGCATTTGAGAGAGTAAACTGAAACAGGTAACAAGGCCTGGATGCATGGCTGATCCCTGCTATCTATCTACTAAGCACAAGTGCAAGACTCCTTCATACATCGCATTTTCCATAATTTGCAGAAATACTTGTTTGGTCATACAGTGTATTTACATGCCAACTTTTAATGAAACCTTGTGGGCCACTTCACCTGACATTCCCACACTCTTGCGTCAAATGATGTAGAAAACTTACTGTTATAGAGAAAAACACAATGCATTAAATGAACTGTATTGGTAGGAATTCAGTGTACATTGCAATTACTTGAACTAAGGAGTCAATATCACAAAATAAGCATCATCAATTCCACTAAAGTAAGGATTACAGAGTTACTATGCAACCAACTTTACATCTCTTGTTTGTTCTACCTTCTCTGCATTCTTGGCTCCTCTCCATATTAGCATTATAAACTGATTACAGCATAGCTTACTTTGAATTCTCTATAGTGGCTGTCTTTCTCATTACATCTTCTCTCTGTGTTGCCTAACCTCTTTAATGCACTTTTCTTCATTTTTCCCCCATCTATGCACAGCCTGGACACTTCAGTGTTACCAACCTATTGTCCCAAAGGTGATGGGAATTTTGATAGAGACAAACCTAATCCTAAACAAAACACTAGCAGTAAATACTAAGCCACTCTCCAGGCAAATGAATTTTCTCATCAGGTTATTCTAAGGCAGTGTTACTTAGTCTATAAGACGTTTCTTTACAACTTGTTCCTGCCTCTAAATCCAATACTGTTTTTTCTGTAGGAATTTCAGATTTTTTTTCAGCTCCTAAGAAAAGCTCCTAAGGCTCAAGAGTATAAGCCTAACCTGATGGCTGTGAGATCCACATCTACCAAAGAGATTCAACAAGCAGCTGTAACCACAGATAAGTCCTTTTTAGGTGTTCACTCTGATTCGTAACAGTCAAGAAAGCAGGAGTAGGAGGAAAACAGGATTTAATAACGCCCTGGACTGTCTGCAAGGCACATTTGTTATAGTTAAAGTGGCTCTAATTTCTTTATACCCACAAGGACTATAAACAATTTCAGATTCTGCAGTCAGTAAGACTTAACAATAACATTCTAGAACCACTCTGAGAGCTGATTTTAAGTACTGTAGTAGACTAACAACATACAATCAATTCTTCCCTACTTAGTAATTCATAAAATTTAAAGCATCTTGCAGAACATTTAGTGGACATACAGTAGTAATACCAACTATTCTATTTGCTTGGTTCCTCACATCAATTCTTCACAAGGTAGAAAGGAGGCTAAAAACAGTTGCCTTATAACTGCATGTGTGATGTTGACAGGCTACAATATGTTCACAAGAATGCTGTCACTAGCCTACTGAACTACCTTCTTCACATAAAATAGATTTCAATTTAGAAGCAAAGTAATTTCAATAGGTTAGAGCCATTAGAAGTTTACCAGAAGTTGCCTGTAAGCACTCTCAAGGGGGTGGGGAGTTCCCTGTCTAGAACACACATGATCAGCCACTGATTCCCACTATATCCTACAGCACTTGCTAGGGTGGCAAAGCAAACAAATCCAATCACAAAGTTAAAAGATTTTTCTCATATAATTATTTCTTCTTCAGTTGTAAAACTGCAGCAAAAATCATGATGTTGTCAGTTAGCTGAATGCAGTTCCTAAACAACTTTTTACATAATAATACACTGTACCTACATTATGCTTTGGTATCGGAGACTGCCATACATCAGTTTCTAAGACAGCAACATCCTTTGCCTCAGCAATTATTTTCTTTCAAGTCACATACACTTGAAATTTAACAGGAGTAAAAGCTCATCTGAGACATAACACCTCTGTTTCATGGTAGACCCTTAGAAAAAGTAAATACAGGGTTGTCAGTGCATGACTTAACTGAGGTTAAGAACACAACTGTTCTTCGGGAAGGTGGAAGTCAGTTTGAATACAGAAGATACATGGACCACTCCAACCACACTTATTTAAGAGTCTTGTCTTCCTCCTTCATTGCCTTCACCCAGTACTGCCTTATCCTCACAGCCACACCTCTCCCTGCCCCACTTCTCCACTCCTATCCTTCCTCCCCAGTAGCCTACTATTCCTACGGATTATTTATCCAAAGAGTACACAGCCACAGGTGACAGAGATTACAACAAATGCACAGCTAGGAGACATTCCAGTTTTCACTTTCATGGCTAAAGATCCTCTCCCTAAGGCCTAAAAAAATAAAGACAGTATTATTTCAACATGGTCAAAGTACATGCAACTCAAAATACTTCACTTTAAAATGTTTATAGTCTTTCCCTTCCTCAGATTCAGAAGAACACTACAAAGTGAAGACTGCGATCAAGGAATTCACAATAGTAAAGGAGTACATTCACTGTTCAGCATCACAGCTTATTTAACCCCACAGACGAGTCCATGCAGTGGACTGAAGGCTTTTTTTGATCTTTTTGTGCAACAGTACACTGGCAACTCCTAAAATTTCTACCATTTGGAGGCTTCCACAAAAAATGTTCAACAAGTTGTCTCACAAGCACAGACTGCAGGATATAATCTGCATCAGAGATAATGTATCAAACAGTTGTTCTTCATTCTATTAAGAATGTTTGCAATTTCTCAGGATTTAAATATTGAGGTGTATGCTAAGAAATTAGTGAGTCAGCTGAAAAGAAGATGATTAATTATTAAGAATGCAGTTATAATCACTGCTAATTATCCTGAAAACTAACAGAATACCAGTCTCTTCTCCCAGTCAATGCAGTCCCTCTCCCAGGAGCTCCTCTCTTTTCAATTTAACTTCCAGCGGAAAAGACAAAGAATGACTGATATCTTTATGTGCAGATCTCTCCATAACCTATTGCCAGACACTAAAATGTCAGCAGAGGTATGTATTCTTCCACTCGTGGAAGTGTAACGATTTGCAGAGCAGAATGCAATTCTCTTTCCAATGAGAACTGGAACGCAAGCTTAAAACAAAACATTAGGCGTCAGAAAATAAACATTTCGGCAGTCTTTCTGCTAGAACAGTTCTGTGATGCTACAAAACAAACACACTGATTATACACAAAAGTTGCTCTCCAGGTTACTCTCGGGATATGTATGGCCCACTTTACAATTTCATTTCAAAGAGTCAATTAAGGCGAAGGAGCTGAAGCTATTAGCTTCTATCTAAAAGAAACTCAAAAGCGAACATCAAATTGCTTACCTAACGAAACAGGTGCGCATCGAAAGGCTCTTTTATTTAGGCAACTAAGTAGTCACACTTTGTACTTCTCCCTTTTGTTGCAGGCAACCACAAGCTATAGTCACCGGTAACTACACAAAAGCGCAGCACACGAAAGCGAGCAGCAATTACACGTTGCAGAAACCCTGCTCTTACTCACCCTAGCACCGCAGCGCACACACACTCACGCACACCAGGGTCTGCGGCACCCGGCCAGGGCAGGACCCGTCACCGCTCGGCGTAGCCCGGCCGGGGGATGAGCACCACGGCCCCGGCCCCGCCAGCCTCGGGGCGCGGCCCCTTTGTTCGGGTGCCGGCGTTACCGCGCCCCGCCCTCCGCAGGTACGGGCGGCGCCGCCGCAGCCCCGGGACCCGCACCCGCCCCGCAACAGGCGGCGGGGCCCCGCTCCCCCCGCGCCCCGGCCGGAGGTCGCCAAGGTCGGCGTCCGTAACCTTCAGGGGCCGGCGGCCGGGCCCCCACCCGCCTGTCCCAATGCCCGGGCGGGGCCGGCAGGCGCACACCGCCGGGGACGGGCGGCGGCCGCGCCTCGACACCGACGCTCGGGCGGCGCAGAGCGGCGGGCGAGGAGCCGCCGGAAGCCCCCCTTGCCCCCACCGCAGCGCCCCGCGGCGCGGTTCTGTGCGGGATCCCCGCGCTCCCCCCCCGCCCGGGCTGGCCCGCGCGCCCCCG